GAGAGAGAGAGAGAGAGAGAGAGAGAGAGAGAGAGAGAGAGAGAGAGAGAGAGAGAGAGAGAGAGAGAGAGAGAGAGAGCGACCATTAAAGAAAAAGCGAAAGGGACAAAAAATAGCCCAAACTGGCTACTGGTCCCTTCCCAGTCGTTCTCTTTTCTTTCCTTCCTTAGGTACTAATTGTGTGGGGAACCATATCTGGCGTCCTTTGCCTTAAATCCCATCTGTCAGCTTGTCGTTTTACGGATCCTCCTACTGCCTTCATTCATGAACAACAGCATGGTTATGCCTTCATTTGTGAAAAAACGGAATCCTATTCTCTCTCTCTCTCTCTCTCTCTCTCTCTCTCTCTCTCTCTCTCTCTCTCTCTCTCTCTCTCTCTCTCTCTCTCACCCTCTCTGTTGCATGCAAAACATGACGTCACTGAGTTTAACTACAGTGGCAGTAAACTAGATATTACCCGTGGTGACGCGTGGTCCAACACGTTCTTCGTGCCCATGCCCATGACCTGCTGACACCTGTGCAATTTATTTAGTATGACAGTGAAAATAGTGAATGACATAACACCAGTCACAGACGCCATAGCGCAACACATTCTTGGTGTCGATCGCCGCTCTGACTGTGAGCGGTACCTGACTGTGTCCTAATCCCTGTACGTCACCCTGTCCCAGGCTCCAGCATTGGACAGCTGCAGAATAGCGAGGGTCAAGCCATGCTACTTCACAACCGCTCCCTACATGGTGACTGCAAATTCTGTCTATCTTGAAACACTCTTGAGACAGTCGCGAAACAATCAGGAACGAATCACAAAGCAGTCATGAAAAGGTCAGTGAAGGGAACAATAAGGAAACAGTCACAAAACAGTTAGTCAGGGAATAGTCAGAAAACAAACAACCAGAAAACAAACAGAAAAGTCACAAAACAGTTAGTCAGGGAACAGTCAGAAAACAAACAACCAGAAAATGAACAGAAAATGAACAGAAAACAAACAGAAAACAAACAATCAGGAAACCAATCAGGAAACAATCAAGAATGTGCTAACAATCTGCCAAGTTTTTTTTTTTTTTTCCGCCCCCCTTTTATTCTGAGTTTTTTTTATAACTTGGAATATAAAACAGAGCTAAGAAAAGAAGAGAAATAATGGTGGACTCAAGTATGAAAGATAAAGGTGGAGCCAACGAGAAAAGAAGATGAAGTCTCGGCGCGAACGGGGCTAGCTCACTTGGTAAGAAGACCCATGGACCAAATTCGGATTCGCAGAATGAACACAATCAAATAAGGTCGGAAGTACCTTGGCCGCTCAGCTCAATTATGATCATTGATCGCTGCAGGCCATCGCCTCCTTTTTTTCCCCCGGGCCTCTAGAGCTTATACAGGATTTAGTCTCTATGATTTGGATGCCAGGCAACTTGAGGCAAGGCACAGGGGTTGAAATCCACCCTACTAGTACCTGTGACCTAGCCTCCACACTGCTATCTCCAGTTTTTTTGCAAGGAGAAATTGGAGGCCCTGCATCCGCCACGAACCTTGCTTTGCACAAGTGTACAGCTGCGAAGCATCGTGTTCGCATTCAGTGACCGAACCCGAACGTTCGCGACCGAACGCGAACAAGCGCCCAAACCCTCCGAACGCGAACATAATTAAAAACAAAACAAAAAAAAAAGTTCTCAGAGAAATCTGAAAAGTATACAGTTATATGTTATGTACAATAAATTTAAATAATCATACAAACAACGTTTGCCTGCCTGGGAGGCATGTTCAACTTCTTAGTCAAAATCGAGTTAAAAATAAAAGACTTTAAAATATATATAGCAGTTTCTGCTACGGAAGTTGCCTCCGCTGCTCGTCCTGTCACTGCTTGTTCATCTGCTGCTAATGCAGTTCCCACTGTTGCGGTTCCCACC